ACAGCCTCAACATAGAAGTTTACAGAAAACCAACCCACACAGAGCAGTATATTTTGTGTGACTCTCACCATACACTGGAACATAAACTCTCTGTCATCAGAACTTTACAGTATTTGGCCGAACGCGTCCCCACAAAGACAGAAGGGAAGGAAAAGGAACAGAAACACATCACAAATGTTCTCCAAACATGTGGATATCCTAAGTGTGCTTTTGTCAAGTCAGCGAGGAAATCTACAAAACACACTACTAAACAGAAAAATGAGAACAACTGATGAAAAAACAAAGTCATCCCTTATGTTGCTGGAGTATCAGAGAAATTCAGGAGGACTTTCAACAAACACAACATCCCAGCACATTTCAAACCCAACAGGACTCTCAGACAGCTCGTCCACCCAAAGGACAAAACACCCATACACAAACAGAGTGGTGTGGTTTATGCAGTCCAGTGCAGCGAGGACTGTCCAGATCTCTATATTGGAGAAACCAGTTACTTTCCAGACGCATGGCTCAACACAGGAGAACCACCTCCTCTGAACAAGACTCAGCTGTTCACCTACACCTCAGGGATAAGGGACACTCATTTGAGGACCAAAATGTTCACAATGTTGACCTTTGAGAGGGGTGTGAAGGAAGCTGTTTATGTAAAATGAGAGAAACCATCTTTGAACAGAGGAGGATGTCTCAGATTTCAACTTTCAAAAATATATAATGGAGCATTAGGCATGATACCTAGTCATTTCCACTCTTATGGGGAATTTCATTCATGTAACCACAGTGACTCGTCTGTTAGTCAGACTAACAATGACCCTAATGAACCCCTGTTGTGAGGAGTGATAGGGCAATCTGCAAATGTAGCAAGTTTAGCTCAGCTTTATAAATCAAACTCCACACTGTCTTTCTTTGAATTAAGAAGCTCCTCGGATGAGAAGAAAAATGTCTTTGGTTACAAAAAAGTTCAGTTGTTTTTGTCTAGAACTTTTTTTAATACCAAGGAGACGAAAAGCAGCTCTGAAACAGTGATTTAAATGTTGACTGTGGTGGATCAATATGTAAATAGATTGTATACATTGATGCTGCTGGCCGGTAAACAGAGAACTTGGCCTTACAGCTCAGCTCCCTCTTCACCACAACGGACGGGCACAGAGTCCGTAATACTGCAGACGCTGCACTATTCCATCTGTCAATCTCATGCTCCATTCTTCCTTCACTCGTGAACAAAACCCAGAGATACTTGAACTCCTCCACTTGAGGCAGAACCTCACCCTCGACCTAAAGAGAGGAATCCACCCCTTTCCGACTGAGGACTATGGCTCTTGGGACATGGAATTAAAGCAACCACTTCATCAGAGTCAGAGTCAGAGTTTCTTTATTGTCATTCGCACCTCATGTGGTACATGTGGAGGAGCGAAATTATGTACACAAGGTCCCAGTTACATCCAACACTAAAATGTATAAGAAAAACAGTAATAACATCTAAGATTTGAACTAAGAAAAACATCAACTAAATATACACTAAGCACGCATAACATAAAAACATTGAACATCAGCACAAACATGAACATGAGTCTGTGAGCAGATGTGCACGCATGAACACATCAACATTGAAACAGATCAGCAGCAACATGAAACAGATCAGCAGCAACATGATATGGTTTTTCACAGTGATTATTCTAGTTAGTTAGAGATTCATGAGTCTAACAGCCTCAGGGTAGAAGCTGTTCCTCAGTCTAGTGGTTCTACACTTAATGCTCCTTACCCTACTTCCTGAGGGGAGTGGGGCAAAAAATGTGTGTGCTGGGTGAGTGGGGTCCTTCATGATGCAGGTGGCCCTCTTCCTGCATCTGGAAGTGTAGATGTCTGTGATGGTGGGGAGGCTGATTCCGACAGATTTCTGTGCAGCCTTCACCACTCTCTGCAAAGCTTTTCTTTCTGCAGCTGTGCAGCCTCCATGCCACACATTGATGCTCGAGCACAGGATGCTCTCCACTGCACACCTGTGGAAGGAGGTGAGGACTGAGCTTCCCAGACCAGCTCGCCTCAGCCGTCTGAGGAAGTAGAGTCTCTGATGAGCTTTCTTGATCAGGCTGGTGGTGTTGTTGCTCCAGCTGAGGTTGTCATTCATGTGTACACCCAAGTACTTGTAGCTGGAGACCACTTCCACCGCAGATCCTCTTATGTTCAGGGGGGTGTAGATGTTTTTGTTCCTTCTGAAGTCCACAATCATCTCCTTTGTCTTCTTCACATTGATGTGAAGGTTATTCTCTTTGCACCAGCTCTCCAGGTGTTCCACCTCTTGCCTGTAGCTGGACTCATCATTGTTTGTGATGCATCCCACCACCGCTGTATCATCTGCAAACTTTACAATGTGACAGCCTGGATGGGTAGCTGCACAATCACACGTGAGCAGAGTAAACAGGAGGGGGCTCAACACACATCCCTGAGGAGAGCCAGTGCTGAGGGTTATGGTGGAGGAGGAGAGGTTGTGGATCCTCACTAACTGTGGTCTGTTTGTTAAAAAGTCTAGTACCCAGTTGCAAATGGAGGGGCTTAGTCCTAGTGTGGATAGTTTGTCCATCAGAGTTTGGGGGATCATGGTGTTGAAGGCGGATGTGAAGTCCACAAAGAGCATACGGACGTAAGAGTTTTTCTGCTCCAGGTGGTTGAGCGCAGTGTGGACCACAGAGGAGATTGCATCCTCTGTTGATCGGTTCTCACGGTATGCATACTGATGAGGGTCCTCGTTGATGTTGATGGTTGTTTTGATGCGAGTCATGACCAGTTTTTCAAAGCATTTAGCGACTATCGGGGTGAGGGCCACTGGCCGATAGTCATTCAGACCAGCCACTGTAGAGCTTTTTGGGACTGGGATGATGGTGGCAGTCTTCAGGCAGGTGGGAACTGTCTCCAGGGTAAGTGAGGTGTTAAAGTTGTCTGCCAGCACCTCACAGAGCTGATCAGCACATTCCTTCAACACTTTTCCAGGGATGTTGTCTGGGCCAGTTGCTTTGTGCGGATTAATCCTCCTGAAGGTACTCCTTACTTCTGCTGAGGTCACGCTGAGATGCTCTTCATCCGGTGGTGAGGTGAGTCTGGTGCTGGGTGGTCTGTTCGGGTCTTCAAAGCGTGCATAGAACTTGTTGAGGGCATCAGGCAGAGATGGATCTTTGGGGCATTGTTCACTCCTTCCTTTATAATCTGTTATGCACTTAATGCCCCTCCACATGCTCCGAGGGTCTTGTGAGATGAATTGACCCTCGATCCTCTTTGCATATGTGGCCTTGGCCCTCTTAATACCAGCAACCAGCTCTTTTCTTGTCCTACTCAGCTCCTCTGAGTTTCCAGACCTGAAGGCAGTGTTCCTGGCTTCCAGCAGGGTACGCACCTCTGCATTCAGCCAAGGTCTTCTGTTTGGGTAGCTTTTAACATTTTTGATAGTGGAGACGGTGTCAGTACATGTACTAATGTAACCCAGAACTGAGGATGTGTATTGGTCAAGATCAAGCGAACCTCCATTTTCAGCTGCTTCTCTGAAAACCTGCCAGTCTGTTCGTTCAAAACAATCTCTCAGTATGGGGCCACTGTCCTGGATCCAGCATTTAACTTTCTTTTGTACCGGTCTGGAGCGTCTCAGCGGGGGCATGTAAGCAGGAGCCAGGAAGATTGAGATGTGGTCTGACAGTCCTAGGTGGGGGCGGGGTTCGGCTTTGTATGCATCTTTTACGTTCGTGTAAACACGGTCCAGCGTGTGGTCTCCACGTGTCGGAATCGCCACATGCTGATTAAAGCTTGGGAGACAGTCCTTTAAATTCACGTGGTTAAAGTCTCCGGCTACCACGTAAAGAGCCTCGGGGTGTTTGTTCTGCAGCGAGCTGATGATATCATGAAGCTCCTGCAGTGATTCATTAGCATTAGCGTCCGGAGGAATGTAGACAACAGAGATGAAAGTCACCGTGAACTCTCGGGGTAGATAATGTGGCCGACATTTCACTGTTATTTGCTCCAAAGCCTTCAAGCATGAGCTATTTACAACAGTACAGTTCGTGCACCAACTTTTACTCATGTAAATGCATACTCCGCCTCCCCGTGATTTCCCCGTTAGCTCGCTGCAGCGGTCCGCTCGAAAAAAAAGTCTGTCATCCAGCTGGAAGACTGTGTCCGGCGTTTTGCTTGTAATCCACGTTTCCGTGAGGCAAAGCACCGCACACTTCTTCATCTCTTCTGAGGCGCCCGCTCTCAGACGAAGTAAATCCATCTTGTTGTCCAACGAGCGGACATTCGACAGAAAGAGAGACGGCAAGGGGAGTTTACCGGCTTTAGCGTTAGCTCGTAGCCTCATCATAACCCCCGCCCGGCATCCTCTCCTCTTAAGCCAGGAGCAGCGCTTCCTCTTCTGCCCGCTGGAACGCCTCTGCTGCAGCTTCCAGGTAGATGACTTTAAGATCTGCATTCTGCCAAGCGTAGCTTTGAGTTTGTTGCTGATTTCTGCTATATTTCGTGGCAAATCCGCTCCTATTCTCATCAGTTCGGTTCGGCTATAGTTCACACGCATAAATCGCGTGGAGTCAGGCACAGAGTCAATATCAAAACTTCTAAAAACTGGGATGGTACCGGGAGCCTGTGAAGCTGCAACTGCTCTGAGCGCGGCCATCTTGGCAAGATGCAAAGGATGCAAAACTGATGCAAAACTGCAAAACTGTAGAGGATTGATATTAGTTCATGCAGGGTTCTGCCCTTTTCTCCATGCTCTGTGCTCGACTGGTACCTTGTCACAGCAGACAAACTAACTGTTTGATAGAATATCACTTTAAAAATGACCAGAATGTCCCTTTAGATTACTTTCTTATGTCAGTATCACTGTAATGGACACCTACATGTTCAACCATCAGCAGGAATGTGGGGTATAGAAGTCAAAGCAGGAAGCAGAAGCACCATCTTGCACAGTCGGGGGTGTACCAAAGAGAAAAAGAGTCAGACAGAAGCTATGAAAGAGTGGTACTCACCAAACGCTGCGACAGTGGGGTTTTATCTGAAGCGGGCAGGTGTTGCTCCAGGGCCAGAACGATGCAGTTTGCTATGATGGTGGCCAGGATCAGGTACTCAAATGGAGTAAGAGGGTTAAGGAAAACTCTCTGTACCTACAATATGCACAGGGTCTAAATAGATGTTTTATGCTTTGATTGCTGTCATAAAGCAATCAAGATCATTATAAATTTGCCTTCTAAATAAAAAAGAAACAAATCAAAAAGACCTGTTCAATGTTAAACTCAATTTTTTCAGAGAGGTGGGGGGGACACCATGAACAGGTCTCCAGTCCATCACAGGGACACCTGGACAGGTGTCCAGTTCATCACAGGGACACATGGAGACAAACGAGACAAACAATCATTCACTCTCTCACTCACTAATTAAAAATATGTGTAATGGAAAACAAGTGACAGCATAAATATGCACCCCCTTTAAAGTGATTTGTCAGAGAAAAGATGATTGCACAGTACGTCAGTGGATGGAGGCAAAAGTATTTCTCTACAGGTTTACTTGTGGTTCCTAGAGTTTCCAAAAGCAGACTGGGAGGAAGATCTTTCAGTTATCAGGCTCCTCTCTTGTGGAACCAACTTCCAGTTTCTGTCCGTGAGGCTGACACATTGTCCAGTTTTAAGACTGGACTTAAATACTTTCTTTTTTGATAAATCCTATAGTTAGGGTTGGTTTGGGTTTCCTGAACTATCCCTTAGTTCTGCTGCTATAAACTAAAGCCTCCAGTATACTCGGGAATACCTCAATCCATGGAGGTCCGTGCATACCGGATCAGAGTTGAAGCGGATGCCCACAGGGCGTGTCTGTACAAAGATCAATGTTTACAACTGCGTACTCGTACTCTGTGTCGTACAACAAACTGCATGGCAACGGACTGTTTTGTATACACCAATGTATTAAATTTCCCTTCTTCATCCCTGATTTAGTTTAATGGACTTTTCTTTTGTTTTGTTTTTTCCAAGAGGCAAGTGATCTCTTCCTCCTCGTCTGTTGACATCATGACTGAAATTATGAGAAATGAAGGAATTTGTCCTTCATTTAAATCAGGTCCAGCGTGGCTGCGAGAGGGTCTAGAGATTTCCTGGTGGGCTGTTCTGATGTGTGGGCTGAAGGGCCAGCACTCCCTGTTTTTTTTTTTTGTTTTTTTTTTAGAACTTTTTATTAACAACATATAAACACAGAACACCGCTGCAGCTGGGGCTGCCAGCTCTCGTTTTTTTGGGTTTTTTTTTTTGCGACCCATCAATCAATCCAGTAGGCATGTCAGCAAATGACTAATCGGCAAACTTAATTTGTCCCGAAGGTAAACGGCCCTTTCCTGCGAAGCTGACTGCAGTCGCTCATGGTGAACGCTCGAGTATGAAGTCTCAACCCTCTGTGAACAGTGTGCACAGTTTCCGCACAGACTGACAGGACACGCGAGTATACTGGAGCTTGCTGGAGGACAAACTGACCACATTTCCTGTCTCTGCTGCTGTCTTTACTTGCTCTACTCTATGTGTTAGTATTTGTAATTATTTATATCTTAACGTTTTTTGTCTTTCCTCCTATAGAAAGAACATCTGGAGCAGTCATTCTGTGTTTGTCTGTTTCTACTTCCTGTCCTCTCAAACCCAGCCGGTCGAAGCAGATGGCCGCTCGTCCTGAGCCTGGTTCTGCTGGAGGTTTCAGTTTTTCCTTTCCACTGTCTCCTTTGTGATTGCTCAGGATGGGACATTGACAAAGTGAAGATTAATCTAAATCTGCTGCTCCCTTAGATTGAGAAATTTTTAAAAATATATATTTTTATGTTTTTGTACAATACCCTGAGATGACTTCGGATGTGACTTAGAGCTACAAAAATAAACTAAGTTGAATTTCAAAGGCATTTTATTAGTAATACTCTAAAAGTTTGGGTTCGTGTTAACAAAACTTTGGGTTTTTTTTGTAAAGAATGTCAATTTATTTTCACCATGATTGATTAATGACAGTAATCCAAGCTTTAGGCCTCAGATCAGCTGAGCTGCCATCAGCCTAGTTCTGAGACATGACGGAGCAACAGAGAGGGCAGATAAGTCACTCACCCTCTTAGCGGATGCTAAAGTCAGCAGCAGGGCTGTTTTAAAAGACAAGAATTTAATCGGAAACTGATCTAGTGGCTCGATTGGAGCTTTGATGAGGGCTCGCAGGAGCAGCGTTTAATCCCACTGTGGAGCAAGTAGGCGTGAAATGGGCCGTCGTCTCTGTACACCTTTTAAAAAACGCTTCATCAGCGGATGATTGAAAGCTGTTCTGTTCCCGAAACCCTTCGTGACAAGAAGGGATGGCTGCAACGTACGTTTTAATCGTGCCGAATGCCAGATTTCTGTCCATCAGCTGCTGCAGAAAGGACAGCACACCACCTAGTGGACATGAGGTGGCCTCTACACCTTTATCCGTACAGCAGCTCTGAAAAGCTGTCCACTTTGATGTGTACAGCGCCGTGGTAGATGCAGCACATGAATCCTGATTCGTACGCACTACATCTTGAGAGAGACCCATCCTCTCTAAGCGGATCTACTCAGCGGCCAGACTCAAAGCTGCCGGCCTATTTCTGGGTAACTCCTGATCGTTCCTCCTGCCTGGAGGAGAGCATCCTCCCTCCACGGCAGTTTCCCCGATAACAGGTGTCGTAGAACTGGGAACCATGGCGCGTTCACGTGCTCGGGAGCCACCAGGAGAGCTGTCAGTCCCTCCTCCTGAACTCAGTTCAGAAACCGTGATATCAGAGGGCGTGGGGGAAATGCGTAAAGAAGCATTTTGGGCCACGGGCTGTGAGCAAACGCGTCCACCCCTAGAGGTGGTTCGTCCCGTGGGCTCAGTGAGAACCATAGTTGACATTGAGCGTTCTCTCGTGTTGCAAACAGGACCACAGCCGCTTTGCTAAATTTCTGCCACGTCTGAACCATCAGCTCTGGATGGGGGTCCAGGCCCCATGATGCGGACCGTCCCTGGACATCACATCCGCCCCCTGTTCAGAACACCAGGGATGTACACTGCTCTGATGGAGAACAGATTTTGGTGTGCCCAACACAGCAGCTGTCTCACAATGTGTAACATTTGGGCTGAGTGAGCCCCCCCCCCCCCCGCTGGTTATGTATGCAACAGTCACTTGCTGTCTGTGTGAATCCACACATGATGATTCTGCAGCACAGAGGCCAAGTGTTGAATCACATTCAAAAAACCGTGACACTCCAAAAACATTTATATGAGTTGCTGTGTGGGGTGGCCACAGCACCCCCACAGCTCGAGAAATGTATGTGCCTCTGTGAAGTCTGACACGTGTGACGTAAGTCTGCTGACGGAAACAGCTTTTATCACTCTGCCGGTTTCAGGTGAGTTACACTGCTGCCACCTGTCTGGAAAAGCGGGTCAGCAGCAACAGATGTCCAGATAAAGCAGAATTCTCCTCCCTGCTCTATGTGGCGGCTGCAGAGTGACTCGACGCATTTTGAATGGAAATTTTGTCTCACAGTTCAAAATTGACAAATCTAAGATAAATCTCATCCTTCCGGTCCGTTTGGGACCAGGAGGTGACGAGAGTGGAACCCTGTGTTTTCCTCTCCTTCTAGGACCCTGGAAATTACATTTTTATTGGAATTTCCTGAGCTTCTGCGAGGGGGGACAAGATCTGTTCTAGAGATGACAGAAAATGTCTCTAGAGTTCCTCCGAATGGGGGTTTGAGCTGTACTGCAGCATGAATCTTCTGCTGATAATGATTCATCCATCTATCTGGAGCGCACGCTCGCTGCCACTCCGCGTAACGTTTGGGAAGCGGGCACGTGTTTATGCTGCGTCAAGTTATTTACGGACGCCAATCACCGCCGTCATGTGTGCCTCACTCAGGCTGCAGGCTCACATCCGTGCTGATGTGAGCTGGCGTGTGCTGAGGAGGCAGCGCACAGCTTGGGCTGAGAGCAAGGTTTCCCACTGGACTTGGTCTGCTGAAAGCATTCACTTTGACTGCTGTGTCGTTCACGCGTGCATTTTGTCTATTTACTCAAGCTGTGGTGATTTAAACCCTGTTGGAGTACACCGGCCCGCTTGTGTGGAGGATGTGTGAGGTAATGCCGCTGTAAGATCGTACGAACTGACAGTCAACCTGAAAACAGACACTTTAATTCCTGAATGATGTTTACGTTTTATTCCAAAAACTCAAACCATCATTATGCACACCCATCGTCCGCAATGAATAATTTTTAAATCTTCTCCCCCGTGAGCCCTGCAGCTTGTCGGGATGAGGAGGGCTGTACTCTGATGGGAGGGGCTGGCAGCAGAGCGGAGCGAGAAGACGCTGCTGCAGCTGTGGCGCATCTCTGCTGTCTCGGCCACGACACTCTTTCCAGCGGGCGGGGGGGGGGGGGGGAGGAGGGGTGTGACTTAATCAGATGGGGCACAGTCTCCGACACCTCCTCCGATTTGAAAATTGGCTCCGAACAGCACGTCCGTCGTGATGGGGCCTTCCAGCGAGTCCATATGCAGCGTCTCCGACAGAGAGAGGGAGTGACAAGCCAGGTGGACCTCTGAGCCATTGTCATGCAGGCTGCGATGCGAGACAAGGCAGACAGCAGACGAGGCACACTGATTGAGGGTGACGTCAGACGCCTGCAGAGGGAGCTCCTCGTCTCCTGAGGCAGGTCTGTCCCTCCGGCCTCTGAGATGCTGTAAGTCAGTGGCGGAACGTTATTGTTCGCTGCAGTCGCCTGGACCGCATACTGGTGAGCTCGGTTGGAGAGCGACATCACATCTGGCCATGCCTCTCCGGAGGCGTAGGACGCTGGTCCAACCTGGACATCTTTGCTCCAAGAGCTTCCGCCAAGCTTGGCTCCAGGGGGGGCACCGAGGGAATTTCCGCTCGGTAAAACCCCTCCACTCTGTTGATGGGCGCGGATGTGGAAACCGGCGCTCTCAGTCTACCAGGTCCGGCTGCAGCCTCGTTCCAGTAGGACGTCACTGCTGGGAAACGAGGCCAGATGGGATCAGGACGGCGAGCCGGGGTGGAGCCAAAAACATTCCCGCCAGATCATCCGATCTGGGCGGGGGAAGGAGAGTC